GTCTGGAGAACTCGGTTTTTGGCTGGAGCATACACTTCGCAAGGTGGAGAAAGTTAATGGGTTTTGGAAGTCAGCACCAGCACACTTTTGGTTTAAGCCTGTATGGAGCTCACAAAGAAACATGTCACCTGTAGTTAAGTTCATGAAGATTACAAGGGTATTCCTATGAAATAGCCCACATTTTGCATGTTTGGTGTGTTTAGGATTTTGTTTACATTTTTTTGATATATAATACTTATTATATAAAATGTCATCCACTTAACAATCCATGATTAAAATTCCAACTGAATAAAAAAAAGAGCCAAACACACACACACACACACACACACACACACACACACACACACACACACTAATAAGCACTCTAGTGCCAAAATCTAGAAGTAATCTCACCAACTACAAGTAAATGGAATCTGGGAAAATCAGCAAGTTGGCGCCCATGGTTTGCCTTGTCTACTTGTGAGAAGTACAACAGACAGGAGATCCCTTGTCCCTTCACCAGACTTCCCCTTGATTTGGAGGCCCCAAGTCTTCACCAACTACAAAATGACACAGACACTGCTTTCTGTAGCTGCTAGAGTACTACGGCCCTTTTTTCCCCACCCAAGGATACACACATGCACACTTCCTCACAGACTGCTTTCCTGTACCTATGCAGAAGGCACAACTCCCAGGAATGACAGAGCAGAAAGTTGGGGTGAGGAAGGAGGGCAGGGGTAAACATGGCTGTGATGTCTGCATTTGGTGAGGCATCATTCCTGACATTAAAGTCGTGTGGGTTGGAGCAGAGAAAGGGATCCGTGGTAGTTGTATATGCTGAGTGTATCAATTATTACATACATGCCCTGGGTCCCAACCGAGAGCTACCAGGCATCCGTGAGGGTTGTCACTCACTCCTTGACTGCAGGGCTAAATGAGCAGTGAATAGGGCCAAGGGAAAACTATTCAGTTCATCTGCTGGGTTGTGCAGAATGTGAACAGCTCCTCACTTGACAGTGAATAAAGAGAAAAGCCCACTATCAGGCCTAATTTTTAAAAATCCTGCAGACCATGGACAGGTAAGTCATGGCAATCTGGTCGGCTCCAAATAGCAGTGAACTTTGGAAGTGACTTACTCTAAAAACCAGAAAACATTTAGAGAACCTTTGGTGTTCTCTGTAGGCTGTATGGAGCCATGTCCTCTAATGAAACCAATTGGAAAGTAATAAGCATAATGAGATTAAAAGGCTATTAAAACAAAATTTAGAAAAGCCCTAAAGTGAACAGAAGAAATTAGAAAGAACTTGGTAAAATATGTATCATTTCAAGGAAACTGAAGCTTCGACAGCCGTATTAAGAGGTAATCAGGATTGGAGCACCTGGGTGGCTCAGTAGGTTGAGCGTCTGACTTCAGCTCAGGTCATGATCTCACATTCTGTGAGTTTGAGCACCATTTCAGGCTCTGTTGTGACTGCTCAGAGCCTGGAGCTATTTTGGATTCTGTTTCTACCCTCTTTCTCTCTGCCCCTCCCCCGCTTGCACTCTGTCTCTCGCTCCCTCTCAAAAATAAACAAACATTAAAAAAAGAAGTAATCAAGATTGTAACTAGGTGTGTTGATATACATTAACTAGATTAATTGTGATCATCTCTCTATATATACATATATTGAGTCATTATGTTATACACCTGAAACTAATATAACGCTACATATCAATTATATCTCAATAAAAAATAGGAGATAATCAAGGAAATCTGAATATTGCTGAATATTTGATGATATTAGGATATTTGTATTATATTTTTAAGTCAGCAAACTTTCTCTATAAAGGGCCAGGTAGTAAATGATTTAGGCTTTGTGGGTCTACAGTCTATTTCTGCTACTCTGCTATGTCACTATAGCCTGAAGGCAGCCACAAACAACACATGACAAATGGCTGTGGCTGTGTTCCAATAAAATATTATTTATTAAAAAAAAGAATCAATAAAAAGGAAAATTAACAGCAGAGAAAATCTAATGCATAATGTCAAACTTGAGAGGTTTTCACAAAATCTAGAAAAGAAAAACAGAAGAAAATGAGGGAGGAGAGCAGACATAGACGAATAAGAATAGAAATTGAACCTAAGAGGACTTGGCATCGTGGAAGAAGAAACTAGAAAAACTGAACAAGAACTAACAACAAAAGCCACAGCTGAAGAAACTTTACAGAGATGGGGAAAAAGAAAAAAACGCTCTGTATACAGATTGAAAGGATTCAGTATGACTAAGCTAAATTAAGGGGGAAAAAAATGTATCCATGTCTATCCTGACAAAAGTTTTGTGTTTCCAGAGACAAAGAATATTATTTAAGGATGCAGGCCAAAAACAAAATAAAACTAAACCAAAGCAAATAAAGGAAAAAATTAATTTTAAATGAACCCAAATCAGACTGACCTCAAACTTCGGCAATAATAAATATCAGAAGACACTGGAGCCATGTTCATGGGATTCCAAAGGAGAAAAAAAAACATAACTGAAACCAAATTATATTACATTCACGTGTGAGACCATATAGCACAATGGTTAAGGGTGCAGGATTTGGAGTCAAAGAGCCTGAGTTTAAATTCTAGCTACCTCACTGATCAGTATGTCCTTGGGCATTTCACTTACACGTTTTATAGGACAGTTGTCTAAATTAAAGGCGAAAATGCACACAAAGTACTCAGAATGCTTACTAAAAGCCATTTGGACTTGGTAACTGCAGTGGAAGTTAGAAGTTGAACTCAGATCTGCCTGAATCTAGAAATGGGCTCACACACCTTGTTGTCCAGTCCTGACATCTCTGACTCTGCGTTGGGAGTTTGGCACTTGCCTCTGTGATCAGAATTATAGCACCTACAATGGTAACTGGAACCCATTCTCACATTCAAATTGTCAATGGCTCTTTGAAGGTTCCAGGGTAATGTAAAGACTATGGAAGAAAGAAAATATTTTATTAGAAGGAACTTAAGGTTTTCATTGGTCACATAAATCCTATACACCACTTAAATCAGGCAGTGTCCAGTTTCAATGCTGACAAAATTTTCTCACAGTCTCCTCCTCTTCCTCTCAGCACCATTCAAGAAGGGGCAGGAGAGTTTCTGGTGCCATTTGATCCAAATGCCTTATCTCATATTTGATAGCTTCTAACAGCTCTGAAGAAGAAATGTACAATGAGGAAACATCAACGGAACTAGCATCCTGTTGTTGTATTGTTGTGGCTGTTTTTCAAAGGGTCAGAAGATACAGTAGGCAGGAGCCTGGCTCTCCTAAGAGGAGAGAATTGCAACAGGCATAGAAGACAGGAGTTTCTTTTATTGTAGTTCACCTTCAGATCTGTGCTAACATCAGATCTTTGCATGATTATAGATATTTCTCGAGAGTGCTGCTTCTCCAGTTGTCTTTTCCCTGCAGAGCGCCTCAGCAGTTGATAAAGTCATCAGCTTATCTGGTTTGTGGTGCTGCATACCTATGCCTTATCTATTCTTGTGCCCAAAGTGACAGGAAGGTCTAGAAGCTTTACTTTCTATACCAACCATAGACCTTTTCTGATCTGCGATGTCGTGTATAGGGAAAGTTTTATGAGGTATAAGCAAAACAGACCAGTTGCATGTCTAATGAATCATTTTTTTATCTTATTGTTGCATGACATTAGACCACTTCTAGAAAATCCAGGGCTTCTGTATCTCACAACTTACTCTTTATATTTGCTTGACTTCTGATGGACAAGGAGGAGATAAAAATTCTTACCAGGTACAGTTTGGTTGCTAGCAACAGAAACTGCCTTTTGCTAACATAAGCAAAAAGAAATATTTTGAAAGGATATGGTGTTATGCAAAATCTGGGGGAAAATAAAAGTTTGGAAAAAAACCAGAATCCCAATTTTTTTGAGAGAGAGAGGGAGGGAAGGAGAGAGATAATGAGCAGTGGCAAAGGGAAAAGAAGAGAGAAAATCTTAAGCAGGCTCCATGCCCAGCACAAAGCACGATGTGGGGCTCGATCTCACAACCATGAGATCATGACCCAAGCCAAAATCAAGAGTCAGACACTTAACCAACTGAGCCACCCCGGCACGCCCAGAACAAAAAATTAATGAGAAATACAGAGACAGAGAATGGGAGAGAGGGAGGAAGGGAGGGAGGGATGAATGGAGAAAGTGATAAATAAATAGAGATTAATTAGACAAGGTGAGTCACAACATTGGCTAGGGTAGAGTATGGGACATTGATTATAGTCCCTCACCCCAGAGAAGAATATATTTGTATACAAATGGAGGGTGAGTGTTAGGCAAGAAAATACATGTGACTTTCACTACCAACGTGTTCCAAAGTACTTACCAGCCTTAAATGACTCTCTGTCACATGCACGTATATTGCTTAATGCAGTTTCTGCTTGGGATTTCACTAAATGTTGTCTATTTGCACTCAGCACCCACTTCTAACCCCTCCTGTGTTTTTTTTCCTGTATTGCAATACTTCCCACTCCTGGGAAGGCTACAAAAGAGTATTTGACACCAACCTTCTGGAATTGATTTAAGTTCCATCTGTGAGATGCAACCGCATGAGATTTGAAAGGCAGAAGGGGCGGGGAGGGACATTTTAAATATTTATTTTCCTGCAGTAGTAGCCATGCCAGACCCTGGCAGGCATCAGTTTTTCCAGCAGCCAAAATGGACCTTGTACTGCCTAGTCACCAACCTCACAGTCATGGGCAACTGAGACATCAGTCAGAATTTCCTCAGGACTACATCTGCTAAAGCCTGATCCTGAGCAGAACAGTAGATGCCAACCTCCACTCTACTGAGCCCATTTTCCCATATGAAAGCCCTTTCTAGTAGAGACACCTGAAGTAGTTTCTGTGTCCTGAATTACACCATGAATGATACAGGTATCAAAAGGCTCCCTCAATATCACTATCAACATAAACTTTGACATTTATTGCACATTTCTTCCAGAGCTTCTGCACTGACCACCAATACTATGTGCTTTTTTTTTTCCTGCACAGATGGCAGAATTTTGTTGAACTGTTGAGTAAAGCTTCCTCCAATTTGCCACATGATTTGCCTACAGGTGAGTTGGGTTACTTTGTTCCTTGAGAGACACCCGCCCCCCCTCATTTCCCAGAGCTACTCTTGACTCTCCAGCTTTGCTGCGGTGGTTTGCTTGTTGGCTTTCGTCTCACTGCTCCCAGGAAAGTAAATGGCTCACCAGTGAAGAAAAGGCAAGAGTCAGAATTGCCTCAGTGGCTATTCTTGTAGGCCAGTTGGGTCATAAAAGGCATAGTCCTTCAGGTTTTGTTATATCATGAAACATTCTCTAGTGATAGCCCTTTAAGATGGATAAGGCACACTTATACAAGTTGACATTATTTATTAGAATTCCTAAGGGCACAACCCCTTAGGTCTAGGAATCCTTCAGCTAGGTACTTACCCTACCTGTATCTCACAAAAAAATAAATAAAATAAAATAAAATAAAATAAAATAAAATAAAATAAAATAAAGCCTATTGCAATATTTTTTGGTAAATGCTTCTAAAAATGGAAACACAAAAAAACATTTTTTTAATAAAAAATAAGAATGGAAAACAATGAAAAATCCTTTCAGGGACAATTTAATTAGATTACAGTCGATGCAATTGATAAAACTACACAGCTGTAAAATAACATGGCTGGCCTAAATACAGGAAGATTTCCAAGACATATTATTAAGTGAAATTATAAAGATGAATTTGGGCAAAATATTTAGCAATTAGCGAGTTTTAAATATGACAGGTGAAAAAATATGCATTGATATTAATCTGCTGTTGCGATTTCTCTATTTACTACATCCATCAACCATTTACTAATTACCTTTTGGATCAAAATACAAGGTACCAAAAGCTTGAAGGGATTGGGGGATTGGCTGCACAAGCATTAGGAGATTCAAAGAGCAAAAAGAGAATGGTGTGTGTAGTTATTTCCGCAACACGGTGCTGTAAACTGGGTTGCTTACAATAACGGAAATCTATTCTCTCACAGTTCTGAAGACCAAAAGTCTGAAACCAAGTAGGGCCATGCTAAAAGCTCTAGAAAAGAGTCCTTCCTTACCTCTTCCTGCTTCTGGTAGCTCCAAGTATTCCTAGGTTTATGGTTGCTTAATTCCACTCTCTGCCTCTGTCTTCACCTGGCCTTCTTCCCTCTCCGTCTCTTTCACGTCTCTGTTTCTGTATCCCCCTCTCCTGTTTCATATAAAGACATCACTGTTAGTTGGATTTAGGGCTCTCCCTAATCCAGAACATCATCTGAACTTGATTACATAAAAAAGACTTCGTTTCCAAATAAGACAACATTAATGGGCACCAGTGGTAGCTGTGTTAGGAGACACAATTCAAAATATGACAGTGGAGGAGAGAGGGAAGATGGCGGCGTAGGAGGACGCTGGGCTCACCGCGCGTCCTGCTGATCACTTAGATTCCACCTACACCTGCCTAAATAACCCAGAAAACCACCAGAGGATTAGCAGAACGGAGTCGCCGGAGCCAAGCGCAGACGAGAGGCCC